TCTCCACCTCGTCCCTCTTCTCTTCCTGCTAGTGTAGGCAGGACTTAGGCTCCATCTACATTTTTACTAGTATGTTAAAAAACCTGCCCTAGGCGCTATTAGCCGACATTGTGATAAAAATGCCAGAGCCCGGTCTGCACCGCAAAGTATCACGTACCTCAGAGACTAATCTTGCAATCATGAGCACATTAAAGACGATGCTCTTTGCAAGCACAATTTCCAAACCCAGCAGGGCAGCGGATAGTGTCTTTGTGTTTTTCTCCTCATTCGGATCTATAAAATATGAAACAATGGTGTAGTTTGCCCATGAAAATACATATTTGTCACAAAGACCAAATATAACAATTATATATATATATATATACACACACGCACAGAGAGAGAGAGAGAGACTTGTCAGAAGTTCACCCTGGGCACAGTTCTAGCCTGGACCATAGTGCTGTGAAGTCAAAGAGAGTCTGCCCTTTTTGGAAGTATATGAGTCCTTGAATAGTGGCACAAAACATTTTCTTAAATAAACATTTTATGTAGGATTTCTTGCAATTTCCTTTGAAACAGCTGGAGACAGAATACTGGACTAGATGAATGCACTAATCCATTCCAACTTCCCCTGTGATCCTATATGATAAGTAAAAACTGAATTAATCTCAAAGGTGTATTATCTTATTGAGCCTTAAAGCCTGAAAATATACCTGGCGGCTTCTCAGCTGTTTGGGTTTTCTTAATAATTTTGCCGTTACGTTGAACGTAGCAAGACACTAGTTCAGTTGAAGAGAACTTGACAATTTTGACAGCACTGTATTTCCCACTAGATGTGAGGATCGGGGCTGTTGCTTCATATATAATTTCACTGTTAGAATTCATGAATATCTTCAGCTCTTTAGGGTAGAAATCTTTCGCCAGGCAAGCAGCAATGCTCTCATTTTCTGACTCCATAATGCAGATGGAGGGCTTGGAAGGTGTTTGATCTCCTGAAAAGTTAATATTGTGGTTGAAATTTAATCAAATGATTATCATAATGGTCCCTTCTTGCCTTAAAAGCAATGATCTTTGCTGTATGTGGGTACCTAGACAGTACCTATTTGATAAGTACATGATATAGTCCTCTTTTAATCTAGACTTTGATAAACTGAATAGACTGAGCTCCTTAAGTCTCATTTGAAGCCAGGATTTTAGTAATAATAATAATAGGAACTGAAAAATGGGAGTTGTAGGGGAAAATAGCATGTGATCATTTCACTAGAAGTTGTAGCATAAGGAGAAAGAGTTAATTTTGCCCAAACAACCTTAATTCTGGCATTTGCTAACTTTTGAAAGTTTTTTTCTGCAATTATAAAACTACTTTAACAATAAGTTTTTGTATGAACTTAATATGAATGTTGAAACCTTTCAATAGAATATTTTTAGAAGATTGCAATGGAAAAATGAATTAAAATTGCAGAATACCACATGACTATTTTAACTATATTTTTCATGTAATTTCTCTCTGCTAGAAAGAAGGAATGTCCAACTGTCACTGAAAGTCAGACAGAAGCTGGGAATTTATACACACACATTTCCAGAAGGACCTATTGTCTCTGGATCCGAAGTGTGCATTGCTAAAAACCACCACTACCAGCACAGACAATAAGAATCCCTGCATAGTCACAGGGTTATTTTTAATCTCACCTTCAATGTGCCTTCAAAAATCTTTAATAAATTACTTTTTCTTAAATGCAAAGTTTTCAAACACCCTTTCCTGAGCATTAAGGTTAAGTCACTTACTTGGTATTAGAGAGACTTTGGTCCCTTTAAAGACAGCATCAGAGTCCACAGTGCTATACAGCTGTGCAAGAACCTCTCTAGAGAAAATTGAAACAACTGCTAGGGTGTATGTATTTTATTCTGAGTCT